GTCAGAATTACCAAGTGGCTTTTTTTCCGTTTTTCAAAATTCAATAGCTCTTCTTTTTGTATCCTTTGTGTTTTTTTTTTTTTTTTTTTTAGGGGGGAGGTTCTCTTTTTTAAAAATTATTTTTTTCTTTTTAATTGGTCAAATGAAAAAATGCCTTATTTCCTTCATTGTTTCTTAAGTTAATTTGCACTGTCCAAGAACAACACCTGTAAGATTCATTGTGCACTTAATTAACTTAATTTCTGATGAACATGTACCTATTTGGACAACTGGAAAATTCTAGTTTATGACACAGTGATTGCATAACCCCTATTTTTTTCACCTTTCAACATAGGAGACTGTCATATCCTATAACCATTTTAAAAGAGCATGTGTCCTGAAATATCCCACGCCTCTATTTGCTTTTATTTTTAATGCTATGGTCTACCTCTACATCTTTATTCTTCATATTTCTCTCCAAGAGGTGGGAATGTGGACCCCACCAGAGCCAAACTATATAGCAAATGTTTGTTTTTCTTCCTAGGATGCTTTTCTTTTCTCTTAGACAGAAACATTATATTTAAGTTCTTTCTTCAGTATCATGACTTAAGTAAATGTACTTTTATCTTTCAGTACTCCAATCCATTTATTTAAAATGCAATCATTTTCCCTTTTTTATAGGATACCTCAGACTATGTTGCCTACGTAGCTAAAGATCCAGTTAATCATCGAGGTATGGAAAGCAACTTCTAGATTTTCTTAAGAGCTTGCGTATACCAACTTTAAAAAGTAATAGCTATTATTTTCAATATGCAGGATAATAAGAACCACTGAAATGCTATTTTGGGTTTCAGAAATATTATATAAATTTGAATTAGAAATAAATAGCCCTATTAGAAGATCAAAGTAGAGAAAAACATACAAGTAGAACTTAAATCCCAGTCATTTGAACAATTCATAAACTAAAAGATTTCTCTAGTTGTATAATGACAAGAGAAAGTGTGTTGGTAATGATAGAGGGGGCTGGCTGCCCCTCCCCCAATAAACAAATGGGCAAATGAACTATACATAAAACCCAAACCTGTGAGGTTATTAGTCTAGCTGGCCTGGGCGTGCATGCTTGCATGAAAGAATGTACATGTGTGCATATGTGTTGAGTTTTGCGCTTGCTATCCAAAACCCTGGCATGTCATTCTGAATATTCATCTTCTCATTATTTAGATCACATCTTAAATGTCTCTTCAGGGATACCTTTGATCTCTTTAGGGAGACCTTTGATCTCTTCGGGGAAATCAAGGATAGATAGATATCTATAGATAGATAGCTAGATATGCTTCTATCTCCAGCAGCATATCCCATCCTGCTGTGTCATAACAATATCTTATTAATACTTTTTATCCTACATATTTGTTATTTTATTCAGTTGTTGGTGTCTTTAATGTTTGTGCTTTTTATTAAAAGCTGCGTGAGGAACATTAAGCTGTTTATCATATTCATTGCTTTCTAACCACTCATCACAATGGCTAGCACATAGATGATATATGGTAACAAAATTTGTTGAAGGACTGGTTGCAAAAGGGAGATTAAAGTAGAAAATTTCTCATTCCAGGATTATCAAGATGACCTAAGAAATTTATCTCCCATCCATAGTTTGTGTCAAGGGTGTGAGGTTCCTTAGTTCGTTGACTCTAGATAGATGTGATTAGTATTGCTTCTCATTTCTGTTCCTTGGACATGTAGATGCTTCCTAGGGATGAGTATTAGGCCATTTCTCAACTAGAACTTATTAGCTAGGCAACATGCTCTGCCACATTTGGGATAGAGCTTGCCCAGAAACACTTATTAGTGGAATTTGAAAATTCAAAGAGAGCTATGACATAGATGGAGATACACATGACATGCTAGGGTATAGATAAAGAAAACATATCAAGAATGAAGTTTGTGAATGGGAGGGGGGAGCTAAAAAGCATCTAGAGGGCATGTAGGGCAGAGCCAATCAGTATGGATTTAATCTCTTGGGCAAATGGGTGGAGAATGCTGTTTTATAAAGCAGATCTTCAGGAAGATTAATATGACAGCAGGATGCAGTATATGGATTCAGTGAGAAACCTAAGGCAGAGAAATTGGAAGCTACTGATTTTCCAAAATGAGATGATGAGGAACAACTCTTGGCACAGAGTTGGTGATCAGTGAATACTTGCCAGAAGAACATGACTCAATGAACTAGAAAGGAGGAAATAGGTGACAAGTTCTAGGCAATACTCCACTAAAGTGGACTCACTCTACATGATACAATGAAGAATGGGTAACATTTGAGTAGGTAGGAGAGATAGGACCTAGTGCAGGGGTTGTGGGGGGGGGGAGGCTGTAAGAACAGAACAAAACAAAGGATACCAAAAAAGAACATCTTAATTACTTCCTGAGCTTCCCTAACGACAGCAGCTGTTTTAAGGAATGCTTCTGAATAGCAAAGTCTTTCCTTTTAATCCTGAGAAGGACAGGGGCAGAGGAAAAGCAAATAACTGGGAAATAGAGCTATTAAGTAACTTTGCCAATCACTGAGTATCTCTGGGTGCATCATTGCTCTTTAGTAAAAGGTGGTAAATTCAGAAATGAACGTCAGTCACTGAGGGTAATGGCTAACTAGGACCTGTGTCCCACATGCTCACAAGAGGATGGAAGAGGACCAGAGGCAATTATGGTGCAGTTCCTTGTTCATGGAGCCTGAGTAGTTGGTCAGAGCCGAGCTGCTTGAAGGGGATCCTTGGGGATTCTGGCACAGGGATTTTTGAGGAGGTGCTTATGGGAGCTTTCGACTAAGGTCATGGAATACATTTGGGAGATAAGTAAAGAATCAACTCAAAAACATTCTTAATAGAGGTTTCAGCTTTTTCTCAAGCCCCGATGTATGAATAAGAAGTAAGAAAGGTACTGGAATCAGACTGTGTAAAAATCATAATTCTACCATATGACTGAGTGACTTCAGTCAAATTATTTCCCTTCCTTGAAACTCGGTTTCTTTAAGTAAGTGGAAATAACTGAGATATCATATGGAAAGCATCATTTCCTTCCCTTCCTCATCTTCCCTTTCTGCCTTAGGGAAATAGTTCTATTTAGTAGAGGTAGGTGACTTAGAAGCAGAGGGCAGTTTTCTTGGACTAAATAGCTAGCATTTCACCATCACTTCCTGTTCTTTTTCCTGTTGCCTCATTCCCTTTCTTATGTATTTTGGTTGTAGAAATCTCATGAGAAGACCTCTGTTCTCTACCTACCCCCTGCTTGCACACAGCTCTGTTGTTAAGTCCCTTCTCCTCACTGGAGCCTCTGGACTTTTCATTTCTGCACAGAGGCTCTGACACAGTTTGGAATCTACAAATAAGTAGTAATTAGTGTGGAAGAAAAATAACTCCTGGTTGCCATGGGCTCACCATTTAGTGGGAGAGGACCTAGCAGTTTTACACAGACAGGGAGGAGGTTAGAGAACAGTCTGGACACAGAGGGGCAGAGTTAGAATTTGAGGTCTGAAACAATAAAGACTCTGAGGAAAGAACTGAGTTACGAGAACCAGGATCATGTATTTGAATAGAGTGTGTGTGTGTACAAGGTGGAGTTGCAGAGATGGAAAGGGTCAAAGGAGGAACCCAGGACTGAAAAGACAGACCAGAAGCAGATTGTAGAGCACTCTGAATACCATCCAAAAGGTCAGTGGGAGCCACTGAAGATTTTAGACTTCATAAAAATGATTCTGGCTTCTGCATTTTGGGGAATTTGTAAAATAGTAATTTTTCTAATAAATAAAAGTGACATTGGAGGGCAGAAAAGCAGTCTGGAATGGTAGAAACGAGTTTGGAAGACATCTTATTTTGTCTTGGGCAAGGGTGATAATGCTCTATAGAGCCTTGAGGAAAGGAGGGACAAATTGGACAGAATTGTGAATTAAATTTTACATGGGAGGGAGATATTCATTTGACAGGAGGCTTGATGAACTAATCATATGTTCCTGAGGATTCAGTGAGATACATGATATAACTATCTCAATGACTGGCTCCTAGTAACTATATAATAAATGGTAGCTCTTTTTATTAGCCTTTGTGGTGTGATTTATCACTGAAGAAACAGGGATTTTTGCAAATAAGAAAAATAGAGAAACTCAGTAGAGAAACAACTCAGCAGTAAAGCTAAAGGGAAAAGGCAGCTCACCCTGTGCCAACAATTGTCAGGAGTATTTGTTCAACCGCACAACCCCAGGAGTAGCAATTAATATCATTCTTTTTTATAGAGCTGAAGTTGAAGTTGAAACAAGGAAATTACTTTTCAAATCTCATTTATTCAATAAGCATACCTATACAAAAGAACATTACAAGACATCTAGAAACATTTAAAAAAAAAACAAACATTTAACCTCAGTAGCAAAGACAAGTTATCGTGTTTCATGTTCAAATTTGAAACACTGAAAAGTGGTGGTGATTTATAGTAGTAGGTATTCTTGAACACTGCTTATAGGAGTGTAGATCCAAAAATTTTGGAGAGCAAATTGACAATTCGTGTTAAGGTCTTTAAAAAAGAAAAAGAAAAGACTTTTTAGCTAGCACATTCTCTTTTAAGGAAATGCTCAGAACATTCACAAATATTACATGATAAAGATCATTAACATATATTATTTACTTAGTAGAAAATTCACTGTTCACAGATAGCAAGCTATTTAAATGAATCCAAAGGATGCACAACTATGTAGCAATTTAGCCTAGTATTATAGAAGAACACATGGAGGAAGTACTATCACTCAGCACAAAGAAGCAGGTTGTGAATCAGTTGTAGAAGAGCTCAGGTAATTTTTTAGAGGTAGGTTTACATAGTATAAAGGAGTGGTAAGGCACATACCAAAATGTTAATGGATAGTAAAACTTACATAATTGCTATTTTGTTTTGGAGTCTCTATTAAAAAAAAAAAACTCCTACAATGAATATTTATTACATTTGTGAATAGAAAAAAATGTTTTAAATCTTTTCATAAAAATAGTGAAATTATAAAAACAGTGCTTTAATATTGTCTAGTTAATTTGGTTCACCAGGGGAAAATTGCCAACAAATAGGAGAAACCTTGCTGGGCATGAAGGAGGATAGGCAGGGGAAAGACACTAGGATTTCAGGAGAGAGATTAGAAAAACCCCAACTTCATAGCCCTAATAATGTGTGAGGTCACCAAAAAAGAACCCAGAAAGAAGAGAGTTAAGGGTCTCACGGAGTGGTGGAAGTCATTGGAGACTATGACGTGTCAGAGAACAGGAGAAAATCAGGAGATGAATATCATCTAACAAGGGGGAAATACAAATTTCTCTGAGAGAGACATCCCAGAATGTCACACACTGAAAAGGAGTCAGGTGAACACACCATACAGTCCAGAAATCTAGGGTTAGTAGTTACCTCAGAAAGCACACTGCCAGTGGAAGGGTAAAGTTAGTGGTCAGGGATGAGAAGAAGATGGCTGACAGGAAGTGGAGACAGACAGAAGAGACCAGTCTTTATGTAAATAGTCCTGCATGTCCCCACTGTCTCCTTTTTGCTTGATTCACTTTTATTACTGAAATTAGGATAGCTGCCACTCTTTTCCATCTTGGTTGATACCCTTTAGTGAACTTCTCATTTTATCTAAGGCCTTTTCTGTAGAAAAAGTAAGTTCCAGTAAGAATGTTTTGAATTTACTTACTAATATAGCCTGCCCTCATGTAATTACCAGAAGTAAGGAAATTTATATTCTCTTCACCTCTTTCTTCAAATGTGAACTATTCAGGAAGGTTTAACTATTCTAACTCTATGGAGGGGCCCATAGCCAGACTAAGTGGAATTCATGGTTTTGATCTCTGAAGAAAAAAAAGCAACTGAAAAGCCAATTTAAATGAACCCTTTTGCTTATATTTATGTTTACGATCATGAAATAAATGTGCCGCTGCCCTGTTGACATCAGCTGACTACAGACTGACTTCAGGCTTTGTTCCTCCGGCTTGTTTCCTTCTAGAGGAGGTCCTGTGACTTGATCCCACAACACCATCTGGTGGTTGATCTGAGATGCTATACTTGTAATACTTGCATTTCTAATTTTCAAGTAAAAGCAAAGAAAATCAAAAACAAAACCAAAAATTTGGTCTATTAAAATAGGTAAAACTGACAAAGTAGGGCCCATTATCATCTAAAAAGTGTTCTTAGCCTCTTACCCACTTAGAAAGCCAAATGAAAACTTAAGAATTTAAAAAATTCTCCTTCAATTTGTGGATCACCTTACTACATACGGTGGAATGAAAATATTCAGATTTTCATCTGATTACAGATGTAGAACAAAATCCCAGGCCTTGATACAAAGTTATCTCTGGACAGTTGTTCCTTTTTTTTGGGAATCAGGGCTTTTTTTTATATATTTGTCTTATTTTCCTTTCTGTAAGTTAAAGATTGTACAATTCTTGGTCAACCTGATTGATTATCCAAACTTTTGGCAATGGTTCTAACACTGGGCAGAGGACATATTTGCATATGACTCAAAACCCATCCCTATTCTGGCTTAATACCAACCTAAAAAAAGAACCAGACTATTTTCACAGAGCATCATGTGAATGGCACCAATAGAATTATTAAAGTTTGTGTGTCTCCTAAATGTGTGATTGTGGATGTGCACACGATGAGCTTTTTGTCCAATATTTTTTTCTTCATGGAGGCAAACACCAACTTTTTTTTTCTGTTTAACCTTTTGAAAAAAAGTTATAGGGTAGTAATAAAGTTATTCAAAGTAAGGCAGAAAATTATGTTGGTGACATCAGCTGAGGAACAAGACCAAACCCTCAAAGTGCCAGAATCAGAGAAATTGAGATAACCACTTTAGAAATATATGAGGAATGCGAGGATGATTGGCCAGTTTCATTGATTCATTCATTCTTTTGTGCCTCTATGCCTTGTCCTGTCCCTTAGAGGGTTTAAGCTATCGTGTTAAAGGAAGGACAGTAGTTTTATATAGCAAGAAGGGACACCTGCTCCTTGCTTTTTCCTGTCTTTCCTCTCACAGGAGGCAGTTTACTTTCTTGTATGTGTGGATGTCCCTATGCATGTGTGTACTGTGTATACTGTGTATATATGAAGTTCCTACTTCTCATTATCTTCTTTACCTTTATCTCTTTGACCTTAAAAAAATAAAATGATTAAAAATGGTCATCTCCATTTTGCTAAAATTTGTGGTCTTAACTTCACTTTTAATTGAGCCAGGAATTCATGAGATGAAAAACAAAAGAAATTAAACGAATAACCTTTTATTATCATAGTGTAACACAACTTCTCTTGATTTAACTGGATGTTCATATCCAAAAGCACTTTGTAAATTTAAGACTTTGAGACTTGCCTAGGAAGGAGGAGACCATTTCCACAAAGGACCCATGCAATCATTAGCTCCAAGAACCTGGGGGCGCCACACAGGTCTCACCATAAAAATAGTATAGACAGTTTTTCACCATAGAATTATCAGTGGGATTCAGAGAAATCAGTATTTATTCATTCAACACATTTTTAAAAAACCTTCTATCTGTTGGTCATTGTTTAAAAAAACCATAGAGAAAAAGAAAGGGCAATATAAAATAGCAGTAAAGGGAGACCAAACATTTTCCTTTGGTAGGAAGGATATGAATTTACAGATCTTCTTAATTGGACTTTTAAAGCTAGAATTAGCTCCTGAGGCTCTTTCAGGATCCAAGTTGTTTCTTTAAAGGAAAACCTTAAAAGAAATACCTTAATTTGATTATATCCACTATCTCACCCCACACCTTTTTCCAGAGTGTTCAGAGACATAAGTCCTTCCAATTAAAATCAAGTTTATTTTGGAGTGAAAATTATCCGATCCCTTGAGAGGATCATCAACCTAAGGATAAGAAACACCATTATAGATCCTATGCTAACCTACTGTTATGGGTTCTGATGTGAACAAATTACTTTTTAATTTAAATAAATACAGAATCCTCTGCAAGACAATGCAAAGCTTGAAGTCATGCTTCTAAGTCAACATGTTTAAGTTACTTGATAAAGACAGCTACCTCACCTCTCTCATGTAGCCCTTGTAATGTGTTCCTTTGTTGGTTTTACAAACAAAGAAGAAGGAGAAAGAATTTATATTGCGAGAATACGAGACAAGGACCAACATTCCAGAAGCTAACTACATGTTGGGAATGTTGAAGCCTGCTTTTCCAGTATCAAATTGAATTCCCTAAGCATGCGTTTAAGCTTTTCCTATGCTCAGAGGATCATTAACAGTCTTTACAACTGTATATGTTTAACTGTTCAAGGTTTCCCTCCCCCCACCAACCTTCAGGCTAAACAAATCAGTATCCTCTTTTATCTCATTGCTCCCGAGATGCACTGCCGTTGTGTTTCAGGGATCCTTAGGATTCTTACTTATCCTTAAGAAATTCAATTTCAGTTAGTTCTTTGTATTTCAAGACACCCTCAACATGATGTGCTACTCTATTGAAGGCAAGAATACTATTGCATATGATTTGTGGTCTCTGAGCACAAGTTCCTGTCTTTAAACAGGAATTCATGAGATGAAAAACAAAAGAAATTAAACGAATAACCTTTTATTATCATAGTGTAACACATAGTGTACACAACGTGTAGCAGCATGTTTGCTAATCATTTGTGATACTCTGCTATCTACCCCCACCCACCCCATAATATCTTCCTCTAATTTGCCATGTTCTGGAAGTATGTTGACTTCCTTTCATCTTTCCTTGCTAAAAATGTACTGTCATATCACTCTTTTTGTTTGTCCTCTTGCAGCTTGCCACATACTGGAATGCCGCAACGGAATGGCCCAAGATGTCATCAGTACCATAGGTCAGGCTTTTGAACTCCGGTTTAAACAGTATTTGAAAAATTCTTCCTTGAATACTTCTTGTGAAAGGTTAGCCAAGCGTTCTATCATTATTTGACTTGCTATTTTTGTTTTCTTTTAAAGTGAATATTATTAATTATTAAGATGACTAATGAAATTGGTGTTTTTTTTCCTTACACATAGGAATGGTGTCAGCCCAAACAAATAGCGATTTCCTCTTCATTCATAGTTGTCCAGATGTTTTCCTTTTGCAGTGAAAGTGAGACAGGATCAGCCCCATTCCTCTAATACGAGCAAGGAATGAAGTAGTATCATAACATAATAAACATCAACAATTTTCTTAGATTTATTTCAAACCTGGATCACATGCATCTTTGTTTTAAAAACTCAAGATCAAAGAGCAAAATAATAATTCAGATGTATACGGTAGGAATTCCTGTTGCTTTACTGGCTTGCGGTGTAAATAGGTTAGTTTCAACTAAGTTGTGGCAGAGAATGGAACATGATGTGACCCAAGGATCTGGTTGTTCTGTCTCAGGCACAGAAAGTTTGCAGTGAAAGCTGACCCCTTTGAGGCCTGTCAGACTCCACCATGTGTGGAATGCAGTGAGGCCTCTGGCTTGCAGAATTCATGCCTGAGAAACAAAGCTCTTGGATACTTTTCAATGCATTTGCATTTTTGTGTATCAACGAATGGCTGGGTTTGGACATCTCCCTTTATGAGGTGGTCTAGGGTAGCAAAAGAGAGGGGTTTACCAAAAGGCCTTGACGCTGAACTTTTCCCTGGGTAGCACTTACACTTTAGTGCTCTCATTTTGTTGACATGTAATGAACCCAACAAACTGTGTGGGTTGTCAGTGGAATCTGTTCTATCCAAAAAGACTTGATTTACTCTTTTTCATAAGAAACCTTTACTAATTCCAATTTGGAAGAGAAATCCATTTATTTTTGTCTGTTTCAATTTTAAAAGCAATACATGTTTACATAAATCTACCCACTTGCCACATATGGTTTTAATATTTCTTTATGAATCACATATATTCCTCTAGATTTGTGCAGACAAGATAGTTGGCCATAGCTCTCTCTCTTTCTCTCTCTTTCTCTCTTTTTTCATCTTGGTTTAATAACTGGGCCAGACACTCTATATAAAAAACAGTATCTAAATTTCTTTTTTGAACAAAACATTCCCCAAATGGGACAGTCAAAGCATTTGGGATTTGGTAGTTTATATCCTATTGACAAATACACTGTACATTCAGGAATTCATACATATACATATACCTGAATATGTGTGTGCTTATGTATCTATTTATATACCACCTTACTAGAACAAGACAAAGACAAAAAACTCTCACCCTTGGCACTCTTTGTTGGTTTACCCACACTTTAATAGTCTACAGAAAGCTAAACAACTCAACCCATCTGGTTCTTCCCTCCAGATGTTTGACATCACTTAAGCAGAGCTTTAAACTTAAAACATGACTGCAAAATTTTTCAGGAATATTTGCATGGTTCTGATCCCTTTGCATCCCCAACAGCATTTGAATTCCCGCCCAGCCTCTTGGGGATTCTTTTTTCCCTTACAGTGAGGAGGTGCATGTTGATGGCCAGGCTGAGGAGCGAGATCATGAGTATTACAATGAAATCCCAGGAAAGCAGCCACCAGTAGGTGGTGTTTCAGATGTGCGGATCAAAGTTCAAGCCACAGAGCAAATGCCATACTGCCCCATTCAATGTGAAAAGTTGTGCTATTTGGTAAGTAATGTTTGTTGTTCCTGGATCTAACAATACCATTCTGTCTCTCTCACTGAAGTTTTTAATTTAAAGGTTTCCAAATCCTAGTTTAGGAAAAGTCTCGTCTTCCTCAATACAGAGCCAGAAAGTACATTATTGTTGACTCCTGTACTAAATCGTTTTTGCTCCTAGTCCACCAAACTAGTCCTCATCAGGTGACCTCCCAGTTCTCTTCACTGGAAAGACTAGGGTGGTCCAGTATAGTATCCTCAACTTCACCTTCCCCATCTCCAAATTTTCTTTTGTCTCCAGTGATTTAATGACTAAATCTATTTCTTTTTCATTAATATTCTCATTTTGTTTATAACATTTGATACCTGATGACTGCCTCTTCTTTTGAAATCCCTCTTCTGCTAGCTACTGCTACATTTCCATCATATGTTAGCATCTCGTGTCTCCTGCAACTTTTTTTTCCTTATTATTCCTTCTGTCTTCCTTCTTTTCTCCATCCTCTCTTTCTTTCTCTATTGTCTCTTTCAAATTTTCCAACATTTTATTAAGAATATTTTCAAAAGGAAGGCAAATTGAAAGAATTGTGTGGTAAACACTTATAACTCACCATCTAGATTCTATAGTTAATATTTTATACATTTTCTCTGTCATCCATCAATCCATCTTATTGTTGATGTGTTTCAAAGTAAGTTGCACCTTTTCATATGTTCATAAGTTGCACCTTTTATCCTGTCCCCTGCAAATCCAAGACCCCACCTTACCAGTACATGAGACTTCTCCAATGAACTGCCCTTGGCCTGGGTTCTACTCTGGCACCCCACTCTATCCACACCCCTCCAGCTTCTCTGTCTCCAGTGGCAGTGGTACATGCATTACATTGTTTGTTTATATTCAAATTGAATAGCATTTTTTCCTTGACTCCAAATGTTATAAATAGATTCGTCTACTGATTTGTGCATGTTTATCAGACGTACTACCACTCTCTCACTTATCCACAGTTTTTTGTTTCTTTCACCCTGTCATCTCAGTTCTACCATATATATTCAGATTCTACTCTGAAAAATGCCTTTCTTTAAAAAAAAATTTATTTATTTATGCATACAGAGCTGGGGTACAGGTCAGAAGTGCAGGGGTAGTGAGAAGATTCACCACAGACAGAGTGGAGAACAGGGCAGGAAGATCAACAAAGCACACTGCTGAGGGGAGCAGAGGGCAAGACTGGAGATGTCTGCTATGCCATGTGGGTCACCTCCAGGGCAGGATTGAACTGGCACTGAAGTGGCTGCTGCTAGCTTGCAGTGCTGCACTTTAACCCTCTGTACCACCAGGGAGAGCCTGAAATTACCTTTTGAATATACCCATCATTTTCCATTCCCATCACTAAGTTCTAGTCCTCACATGCCTGGAATTTCAACCCTCAAAGTTTCTTACACAATACTACCAGAATAATCTTTCAAAAGCATAGACAATGCCCTTCTCAAAGGCATCTGTGGATATTACTGAAGAGAGCTCTACATGTTGAAGGGGTAATTGCCCCCCTGATGTTTTCAAGGATGAAAAGTGAGCCTGGTACCAGTCTTAGTAGAGCAGGGCTTCAATGCCAAATCACAGAAGGAAGTTTGCTAACTGGCCAGGATTTATACAAAAGTCCTAGAAATCATGCTTCCTGGGTAAGACTTAGATTGAATCCTGAATGTGACCTTCCAAGCAGAAGTTGTCACCCTCAGGCTGCAGATTTTATATTGACCACCTCTGTGACTCCTCACCCCAGCCAGACCCACCTCTGCAGTTCCCAAACAATGCCCTTTGAAAAGAGTCCACTCCTCATCTACATGCTCAGTTTTCTTTTCTTACGTGTCAAACACTCCCTGTGTCATAAAGTAAAGTTGTCCTTTATATTCTGAAGGGAGCATTCGTGTTTTGTTGTTTTGAAAACTTGTGAATGTATATTGTCATGGTAAATGTCTCACCATTTGTTGTTTGTACAGCCTGGAAACTCCAAGTGCAGCAGTGTATACGAGAACTGTTTAGAACAAAGCAGGGCAATAGGTATGTACGCTCACCCTCACCATCTGCTGCTCTTCTTTCTTTTTAAGTAACATGGTCTTGTGGTCTGTACTTTTGCCTACTTTTCTGGGAAGTAGGTTGTAAGTAGAGAAACATCTAGTGCTTCAGCTACAGGCGCTTCACATTCCAATTGGCCCCAAGAGCCTGGTGTGTGTCACTCAGAAGGCTCTTGGCTCCCCCTGTCTGGTGTGCTGTGCTGCACTGTCTTTCTCCCCCATTGGATCTTTCACTTCTTTGACACCTGGAAAGCTCATTGCCTGGAAATGTGGGTTTTTTTTGTCAAAGCTCAAGGGAGTTCCACTTCAAAGATCAGACAGTAAGCTAATGTGAAAATCGATGCTTGTCAGATTCATTCAGATTAAGATAAAAACCTTGATTTCTTCTTGGGATCAAAAAGAAATCTGAGATGTTAGAGTCCTAATTAAGGGCCCATTCACCCAAACTTATCTGGTCATTAAATGTCTTATTACTACACATGATAATTGACGTTGGGCACTTTTCCACAACACAAATGTAGGCCAGCAACTATCAGATGATGTCATAAAAACTAGTCATGTTATTCTTTAAAAAAAAAAAAGTTTATTTATGCTTACAGAACTGGGGTACAGGCCAGAGGTGCAGAGACAGTGAGAGGACTCATCAGAAACAGAATAGGGAGCAGAACAGGCTGAATGATGAAGTACATTGCTGAGGGGATCAGCAGGCGGGTCAGGAGAGGTCTGCCGCACCATGTGGGTCACCTCTGGGTTGGGGATCGAATTCATGCTGAAGTGGCTTTAGTGTCTTAGTGCTGTGCTTTCACCAGCTGCGCCACTACAGAGGACCCAAGATTTTTCTTTTTGAATCTCCTTGTCATAGAATCCAATTTATTTTTTCTTTATCTTGATTTCATTTCTTCTTTAAACTAACATTGTAGTGCCTTACTCTTGCATAATGCATATATATGTCTGATGACTACTGAACAGATGTTTTTTGTAGTATTGTTTACTTGGAACCCGAAATCTATTTTTCCATAGAATTAATTTTAGCCATGATGTCTATCTCCTAGTCTAGTGCATCTGACTCTACTATTCTGGTTAGCTCCACTGGAGCTTAAACATATTTCTTATAGTGTCACATGCAGTAGAAATTCTACTGCAAATGCTGTTTCTTCAGTTACACCCTAATTGTGTGGCAGACTGGGGCTAATATAGAATGGATGCACACTGTCTTTCTTTGTGGTGGCCCTCAGGTAGTAATCCAGAACTGGAAACTGTACAGAATCTTGGGTATACCAGAGATGGTTGTAGTTTAAAGAAAATGCTACAGTTAAATGCCACCTCTTCCCCACCCCCTAACACCAAATCACGGAGCTACTACATTGACTTCTTAGAAAAGCAGGTTTTAAATTCTAGTAGCAACCTGGAGATTTGGAAACCATCTTTCCAAACTTCAGGCACTAAATTCATGGAGGGATAGATGGGCCCAACCCCTGTTCCAGGCCCATGGCAGTGAAGGCCTCTTCTGTTGCAGCAGAAAGGACTTTCCCACTACTGTGTCCTCTCATCCAAAGGCCAGAAATCATGTGTTTCATGGGTTTTGCCTGTGACTTCTTGATGCTATGTTTAGAAGTGATCTGAAGTTTTTGACCAGTGAGCAAATTATCAGTAGTTGCCAGAGAAGCAAATAGACAGTTTTTATGACTTTTCCCAGAGATTTATTCATGAGCATTTGAGAGACTCAAATATACAAATATTTTTTAAAAGCTTTGGTTTTTTCCCTCCAAAGACATTTACTTATTCAATTTTTGACTTAAAACTTGAATTCTGGTGTCTTATAAATACTGTGATAGCTTTCTGGTTGTTGTTGGAAGAGTTAATTTATTTATCGCCAGAAACAGAAATGGTCCCTACCCTTACTACTAAGATTAGTTATGGAAAAAATCATAGCAAAATAATGTTTCCCTAACATTCAAGTTAAAATGAAAAGGTTGCTATTTTTAATCAAAAAGATGTTAAATTCCCATAAACCCTTAAAACCTTGGGACGTTAGAGTTTGTATACTGTATATACATTTACTCTCAGCTCCGGGTCTTTTCTTAGGCAGCTCAGATAGGTTCTCAGAGTAATGCTTGGCCAAAAGAATTTTTGGAATGCATAATATTTGGAGTGTGTGAGTAAGCTCTCATCAGCCACATACTTTATCCTAGAAAATGTTAAAATTTGGGTGTAGTATATAATCTCTTTTTTTGTTTGTTTTACTTTAAAGCAATATTAAAAGGACTTAAAATGACATAGTTAAAAAAATGGCACTTTTCAAGGCCTAGACATTGAAATGTTTGTATAATTCTATGGGACAGTAAATTTACTTTGGCCAGCTCATGCCAATGCCCAAGAAGGACAGATGAGTTAGTGCCCTGTGCTAAAGGTATACTCAGGGGCTTCCAAACATGCAAAGACAGAGGAATTGGGTAGACACTCATTCACCTGATAAACATTTTCTTTTGAGCACCTGCTTCATACCAGTCATTGAAGATCAGAAGATACAAAGATAACTGGACTCTCATCTCTCCTCGAGTACTAGAGGAATTTGCAATCTTGAGAGGAAGGCAGACAAGTAAATGGATGCTTAGAGTGTATCAGAGAGTGGCACCTTACCCACACAGGAAAAGAGGAGGACTTAGGGGAAGACTTACTGAAGGAGATGGATTCAGACAGAATATTAAAGAATAAGTAGGACTTAGGTAAAGAAAGCTGAAGGGTGGATTTTATAGCATGAGATAAGCATTGTGTGCAACAGCCCAGCCTCAATAAATAAAAAAATAAATCAGTGATGGGAAGTATTTATTGCATACTGACTGCAAGATAGCACTATGCTTATCATCTCATCAACATTCTTTCCATTTAATCCTTGCAGCAGTAAAGCTAGGCATCCCCATTTTACAGATATGAAAATTGAGTCTAAGATGTTAAATCACATAGTGTGAGGTACCCTGGCTGTCTGAATTCAGGTCTGTATTAATTTAGAAGCAAACCTCTGGCACGTTTGATACTATTCCATTTTCAGTAAAATTTTATGGGTGGGTACTCCTAAAGAAATGATAATATAAGCGGGTATTATTTTAAAAAGTGGAACATGTCGAATTTAGATTTAAGAAAAAACAAAACATTTTAAAAAGTCTTGCTAATTACAGTAACTGATTGCTATTATTATATAGCAATTCAAGATCTGATATATAGCTAGAGCTTTTACTGATAAGTAGATGTAAATCCACATTACAAATCTTGACAATTTTAACTTCTGGGAAGCCAAATTCTGATTTGATTTACTCATTGTTGTTTATTAGCTCATTGTGCAGCTAAGGAGGAGCTTGTGTTCAGACTAAAAGAATTACCTTTTTTTCTTGATTTTTTTTTTAATCTCTGACTTCCTCTCTTATCTCCAGTCAGAGAAAACTACTTTAAAAAAAAATAATATCATAGTTTATTTTTACATCATTTTGTACATTTTCCCCCATCTCAATTGTAATCCCCGTGGGTTTCCCATCACCAAGTCACCCATGTATTCCTTGATTTAAAATATATATATATATATATATAAATATATATATATATATTATGCGGAAAAGAGCTGGGATGTAGGTTTGTGTCTGTGTGTGAGAGTATTCACCAGAGATAGAGTGGGGAGCAGAACAGGCAGATCTAATGAGATACAGTGCTGAGGGGAGCAAAGGGAGAAGAAACAGGAGAGGTCTGCTGTCTTCACCATGTAGGTGAGCTCCCTGATGGGGGAGCTCAAACTCAGGCTGCAAGGTTGATAGCATGAGAGCTCTGAGACTTAGCCCCTGTGCCACTAGGGAGGCACAGAGGAACCCTCCCCTACTCTTGATCATTACTTCGTGGTGATCTTTTAGGTATTATCTGCTGTGAAAGTAAAAAAAAAAAAAAATTAAAAAAAAATTTAAACTATGTAATATAGTTCATAAATCCATTTAACAGAGCAATTGGAAACTGTCATATGTTGCAAAATGCAACAGACAACCCCTTACACTTCCTTAGAAGTCACAGTCCCCTCTCGGGATGAGTGTGGTGTGGCACCTTGTGATGTGTTAAGAGTTGACCAGGAGAGAAAGAAAGGGACAACAGGTTGTAAGGCCATAGTTTCCTAACTGGGCTGACCCTACTGGGTATACTCTTAAGTTTCCATACCTTGCTTTGCAAAAATGTTATATTATTATTCAGCATTTTATAATCCAGTACAGAGCCTTTTTGGACCACACTGAAGGTATTTAATGGTGAAACAATAGAAGGTCTGAAGTTGTTTTACAATAGGACAATGGAATGTCAATGTCACTACTCCAGGTGTGGCCTTGTGGTAACCTGTAACATATATGACCAAAACAATAAGTAAACTTGTTTAAACAGAAGAGTAAAAATATTTTATCCTGGCATTCTTAGGGCAAAAGTCTCTGGATGGTACAAAGTACTTCTTGCCACTAGGTAGTGAAATATGTTGGCAATACCCATTCATTCAGGAGTTGTTAATGTCCTATGTATCAGATTTTGCTAGAAGCAGGGGTTGTAACTGTAATCAAGACAAACAGGGTCTCCTTGGATGGTACAAAGTACTTCTTTCCACCAGGCAGCAAAATATATTGGCAATGCCCATTCATTCAGGAGCTGTTAATGTCCTATGTATCAGATTTTGCTCAAACTGTAATCAAGACAAACAGGATCTCTCCCTTCATAAGACATATATATGCATGTAGAACAGATACTCAAAAAATAGTAACATAAGCAGTAGAATGAATTATTCTTGTGGTGTGGGCTTCAAAGGGGAATGTTCAAACAGTTAAGAAAGCAGAAAGAATTAATCTGGTTTGAGAAGGTCAGGGAAGGTTTCCCTAAAGCAGTGAAGTTTAAAACGAGCCCTGAAGAATGAGGGTGATGGCAAAGGAAAGAGTGCATGTCAATCATAGAAGATGGAGTTACAGTGGAAACTACACTGCAAGGTCATTGTGAGCCTGGCCAGAGACAGGGAGAAGGTGGTTGCAAGACATGCTGGGGAGGGGGCCCAGGGCCTGCACTTTGTCTGAGAACTTGAGCTTTAGCTCAATAGCAATTGACAGATAACTGAAGGGTTTTAAGTCTCTGAGAACAGTGATCAGATTTCTGTCTTGACCTGCTCTTTTGGGCCACAGTAGACAGCATAAGATGAGGGGGAGACAAGTGAGAGGGGAGGTGATCACCTGAGGGATGAGGCCTTCATTAAGTAACAGTAAACATCAGCGGTTGGTAGAGGCTGCACTTAGAGAAACAAAACTTTGTACCTGAAGAGAAGACAGACATCCTATTCTTAGTGCTTTTAAATTAAGTAATAGGCTTTTTGAGGAGAGCTTTAAATAGCAGATATTTTGGTTCCACACAGCATGTGTGTTTCCTTGGTTCCGGGATGGCCCATCTGTGGAGTGCTTGGTCAGCTCTCTGCTTCTGGTGTGTAGGGTATGGGGAGGGGGGTGCTCTCCCTCCCCTGGTGTTTCTTTTGGATCTTTTTGCTTTGCCTCCAGTCTGCTTGTGGAAACAAAGGGTCCTTTGGGTGGGTGGGTGGGGGCAGGGGAGGCCAGTGCTTTCCCTCAAGATCTGTGCTTATCTTGCTTTTACAGGTCAATTTTAGGAGTTAATATTCAATCCTTGTTTGAGATAGGAGTGACTTCTTGCTTCCTATCAATTCTAGACTCAAACATGATTTTTCTTATTATTTACAAAATAAAAACATGGCACATTGATCATGACTAATCGCTGCAGGTAATGCACATGAGAGAGGGGTGCAGTCCCAACGAGACACCTCATTAATGAAACACACATGTCGAGTGGATCTCTTCGACGACCCCTGCTACATTAATACGCAGGCTCTTCAGAGTACACTTGGCTCTGCCCGAAATCAAGGCTTATCTCACCAACTGGGGAGCCTGTGGCACCATGAAAGTAAGTAGCTGCTCCCTGTCTGTCTTATTTCCTGTGGATGCTGTCACAAATTATCATAAGCTGGGTGTCTCAAAACACAGAAATTCATTCTAGCACAGTTCTGGAGGACAGAAATCCTAAATCAAGATGTCAGGGAGGTTGGTTCTTTCTGGAACCCCTGGAGAAGAATTTATTCCCCCCCCCCTCTCCTTGCTTCTGGTGGCTGCCACAATTCTCGGTGTCCTTGCCTTATGGACACTTCAATCTTTGCTTCAGCCATGGTCACTTCTGTGTCTCTTGTCCTTTCCATTCTCTCTTTTTCTAAAATGTTTTAATTCATTTTTGTATAGAAGAAGTGGGGTGCATGCCAGAGCACCCACCAGAGATAAAGTGGGAAGCAGAACAGTTGGATCAACTGAAATACACTGCTGAGGGGAACCAGTGGGTGAGACAGCAGAGGTCTGCTGTGCCATGTGGGTCAGCAACTTGGCCAGGGATCGAAGCCAGGCCATGTCAGTGATAATGTTAAGGCTTAACCCAGGCCACCAGGGAGGCCCCCTTTCCTTTCTCTTATAGGACAATGGTCACTGGATTTAGGGCCCAATTAAATTCAGAAAGACCTCACCTTAAGGTCCTTAGTTTAAGTATATTTGCGAGACACTTTTCCCAAATTAAGTCACACAGACACTGTGGGTCGGAATTTGGCTATGTCTTTTGAGTGCTGCTATTCAACTCACTACACTGTCCCTTATTTTAAAGAATGCTATTTGCTTGGCCTCATCTTCAAGGAGCTGTAGAGATAGTATAAATTAGAACTTTGAGTAGAGTCTATGGGTTTCAAGATTCTGGACTTTGATTTTGAATAAATTTCCCAGATACTTCAAATTGACTCCCAACTTTTGTTTTTTCCTCTCATTTGAAGGAAAGGCAGTCAAAATGGATAGATTTTTTTTTTAAGATTATTTATGCATACAGAACTGGGGTACAGGCCAGAAGTACAGGGGCAGTGAGAGATTTCACCAGAGACAGAGTGGGGAGCAGAACAGGCAGATCAACAAAGTACACTGCTGAGGGGAGCAGCAGGTGACACAGTAGAGGTCTGTTGTGCCATAAGGGTTACCTCTGGGACAGGGGATCAAACTTCAGCTGAAGCAGCTGCTGCTAGCTTGTAGTACTGCATCCTAACCCTTTGTGCCACCAGGGAGGCCCCATGGACTGATAATTTTGACTTTGTTTGCATGAGGAATAATGGCCATGATTTAGTAAGGTGTTAATTTTATTAGTTTCAAAATCCCTTGGTAAGACATCTATACAGCACTAAAATAAGATGATGCTTTAGCCATGTATGGTGGGGAAATATAATTAGATAAACACCATTTTCCTGCCAAATTGCTTCCAGGAGTAAACATATAAACAGGAACATAAATATATAAAAGCAAAATGAGCCAAAAGTCTTTAATCAACTAAAAAATAAACAAAAAATGCTTTTCATAAAATACTGAGGTTTGTTGGGTTCAGAGATTGGCTTGGTGTCAAATTTGGTTTGTTCCAAAGATGGTGAAATAGTGACTGAGAAGGGCCTTTCTCTAGCTCAGAAAATCTTTCCAGAATTGCCAAGGGCTGGAATGGCTGCCATGGCAAGATGAAAAATTTAAAAGAAGATTTTGCTGAACTGGGCCTTCCCCAGATGACCTTAAGACTTTAGACTAAGAAACAAAAGTCTTCATTGCCAACCAGGTGGGATGTGGATCACCTTCTTACAAATTTTCCAAGATTGTTTTTGCTACCCAGACAACTCAGTTGGGTTCTCTGGGTAGATGTTTCTCTGTTGGAGTTTGGCATACGGAGGCTTTATTAGGATTAATATCAGGAAAGGAAGGGGGAGAAAGGAAGAATGGAAGGGGGAAGAAGGAAGGTTGAGAAGAAGGAAATTTGCAGCTACCATGTCCTTGGCCAGCCCTACTGAGATCATGTGGGGGTCACAAGTGGCTGGGCCTATTAACCTCACTTACTATGTGGGCCACTAGATGGAGCGCAAGGCAGCTTTTTGTGACTAGGGCAGACCCGGAAGGGTGGTCATCTGAAGGCTGTTGAGACCTGGGCTCCTTGGTCCTTTGAAGAAGGATCTGGATGGTGAATCTATGTGTCCAACACAGAAAACATCTCGCGCCATGGAAGGGGATATGAATGAATATAGAGTTTTACAGTGAATTTCACTGTTTACTGCAGACTAACTTGTATGGATAAGGTAATATTTGCTAGAGAGACAGCTTTTGGGAAGAAGAAGAAAAAAAAAAACCTTTTCAGAACCTCAGATTTTAAAAGTAACTTTATAGTGTGTATATATGCTTGATTACTTCTATTTCACATGCACTTCTCAGGGCAACAACATATTGTAAGAAAAATTCATCAAGTGCATCGCCCAAATTTGGTGATTTGGAATACTTCTTGATTTATAACAACTGCAGTTTCTTTGTAATCAAATCTTCAATGTTAAAAATTTTTATAATGCAACTAAATGAATTTTACTTTTTATCATAGATTATCCAATAATAGGCAAAATTAGTCCATAACATTTTTTTCTGTTAATTGTTGAAACCTATCTATCCAAAATTATAATATCAAAATGTGTTTTCATTTTTCCTTTTTTTTTTTTTTTTCCCTCTCCTTGCCTTGGTGGCAACATTTTTGATAATTTGGGCCTTTGGTAATATCTTACTCTGGTAATATCTGGTAATATCTTTCCTCTTGGGATTTATTGTATTATAAAATTCCTTGACTTCTTGTTATCACTTTGAGATTAATGTCAACTTAGTATTACTCCTTCCAAAAAAAATCAAATCCAATTTAAAAACATAGAAATAATGTTGATTTAAGAAAATTTAGTAAAGAGATGGCATAGGGATAACTTTATATTGAATGTGCTGCAAAATGTCTTGAGTATCTTTTAACCTTTTTCCTAATGTTTCCTCCTATTTCTCTCCTTTCTGCCATAAAAATCCTCTTTCACTTCTTTAGGCGTGCTTAAACTCCCTTACCTAGGTAAAACTTAGTATTTCAGTAAAGCAAAGCAAAAAAAACCTCTAAAGACACAAAGTAAATTTATTTCAATCATTGTTTTCAGGACTCCTCAATTGATCCTATCCCACTGCCAACATAGGAGATGCTTTGAAATAATTTTTATTCTCCTTCAGCATGGCAGAAAGAATCATTAGTACTGATATTGTCTAATTTTTGTATCACTTTATTATAAAGTAATTGTATCACTTTATTATTAAGCAGGCTAAGCTGCCAAAGCAGGGAAAATCCCCCAGAATATAACAGTGCGGTTTATTTATTTTCCCTACTGAGTAGATAAAGTGGGGCTGGTAGGACAGCTTTCCACTCTCCAGCCTGGCTTCAGTCTCTAGTGTAAGTGGCTCAGACTCTCGCTGTCACATCACTGTTCAACCATAGGTAAAAGGTAAGGGAAGAGGATTATGCGTGCATTCCTAGGGACGTGACCCAGCAGTGGCCTCTGGCATCGGCAGAACTTAAACATACTGGGGCCCTCCCTGGTGGTGCAGCGGGTTAGGATGCAGCACTGCAAACTAGCCGCCATAGCTTCAGTGCCAGTTCAATCCCTGGCCAGGAAGTGACCCACATGGCTCAGCAGACCTCTCCTGACCCGCCCGCTGCTCTCCACAGCAGTGTTCTTCATCAGTTCTACCTTTTCTGCTCCCCACTCTGTCTCTGATGAATCCTCTCACTGCCCCTGCACCTCTGGCCTATACCCCAGTTCTATATGCATAAATAAATAAATCTTTTAAAAATAATAATAAAATAGGCCCTCCCTGATGGCACAGTGGGTTAAAGCACAGCACTAAGAAGCTAAAGCCACTTAAGCACGAGTTCCATCCCTGGCCCCAGAGGTGATCCACATGGCGCTGCAGACCTCTCCTGGCCCACCTGCCGTATCCCTCAGCAGTGTACTTCATCAATCTGTCTGTTCTGCTCCCCACTCTGTCTCTTGTGAATCCTCTCACGGCTCCTGCACCTCTGGCCTGTACCCCAATTCTGTATGCATAAATAAATAAATCTTTAAAAAAATGACTTAAAGGGGGCTACCTTTGGTGGGGCTAAGAAGGCTACTCCTGCAGGTCAGCCATGTACCCACCTAAACTCAGGCTGTCTATAATATAAGGAAAGGGAGAATACATACTCACAGACAACAGATTGTTTTTGTCACAGAAGAACTTTCTGCCACCCAAATATCCATGAACTCATCTTTTCACATAGCACTTCTTTGTCCTCTCCAAAGGGAAAGACATTGTAAATACACCATAGGGCTGTCGCATCCACTCAAAGTCTGTGGTATCGGGTAAGGTGAAATCCTCTGCATCAAGACTAGGTGGGGATCTTTATTATTTGCCAAGTTGTTTGCCCACCCAAAATTAGTGGTGGAGTGGAAATAAGATAATCACAATAAAAAGTCATGTTCCCACAAGAAAAGTGCGCAAAACACACTGGTCACTGGTCATGGTGTCCATAAACGCTGCCAGGAAATATTTGTGAAGGTCCTTTGAGCTGCAGTGGAGAAAGTGACCAGCTTAGCTGGTGCTGCTGCTAGAGGAGAGGAATCGCCTTGTCCATCAAGTCTGTGTCTCCTGGGTTATCTTGTCATAATCTTCCATGTGTACTTCTGAGGCGGCTCTCAGAGAAAATGGCTTTCTTGGGGACATCACAGCATTTATAGCCACTTTTCTGTTGGTGTGGGCATGAAAAATTAGTTTACTTTAGAGGCAAAAATGTCATAGACAAGAAGGGATTGTGATTTGCTTATCATAATTTCTTCTGAAAATTTCCATGTTGTCCTTTTTTTTTTTGCCAGAGAAAAAAGCCTTCTCCCTTTCCTGTTACAGCTCTGTATTTTCTTTTGTCTTCTGGATTAGTGTTCTTTAAGATTTCTCTACAGTTTTTTTTTTCATTGAGTCTCATTTTTGTAATTATTATGTCCTTCTGTTTGGATAAAATTTTCTCTT